TACCGGAGACATGGTTACCGGTACAGCAGAATCACTGGTGGCCAAGTCCAGTGAAAAAACGGCCCGCACAATTGAGCCGAAGCCCCCAGTGGAGATCGGGCTCAGCGGCACCTCACTGAGTGACGAGGAGGACTGCATTTTGCGAACCACCTCCGACTCTGTGGCTGACGATGAGACCCGAGATCTGCTGGCTGGCTTATTTTTGGGCGGGGACGAAGAGGATCAATGATGGCATGCCCTTCGTCCAAAACTAGCCTAGTGCAGGCCAACCTCCACCACAGCGAAACTGTGTAGGCTCAATTACGCAAGTGGTTGGAGGTTCAAAGGACGGCTATAGCCTTAATCCAGGAGCCGTGGGTTTGGGCTGGTAAAATGAAAGGCCTAAACAAACTAAAAGGTAAACTATTCTATTCTACAGCTCTGAACACGACAAGCCTAGAGCGTGTATTTACACTACTAAAGATATCTGTGCACAACCATTAACAGATTTCTGTTCTAGAGACATGTATGCCGTGGCAACACAATAAACACAGGAGAGAAGATTCGTCGTCGCCTCGGTCTACATGCCGGAGGAAGACACTCCTCCCCCTCATGACCTCGTGAGGCTGGTGAACTTCTGCGAGAGGACCGGACTAGAGGTTATGATCGGGACGGACTCCAACGCGCATCATCCCCTCTGGGGAATGGAAAGACCGAATGAACGAGGTAAGGTGTTAGTTGATATTTATTTAGCACTAACCTAACCATTTTAAACACAGGTTATGAACCAACTTTCATAAACAAACGCTGTCGCACAATAATCGACCTCACACTTGCAGCACAAGGAGCAGCTAAGCTAAGTACGGGATGGCATGTGCCGAGAGAGGCATCATGCTCAGATCATAGATGGATCTGCTTCACACTACAGGTCGATATCCCCGCTACACCACCATGGAGAAATCCCCGCAAGACGGATAAAACAAAATACCTTCATAGCTTGACGTCTTCGCTCGTGGGTTTTGAGAAGACAAATACTATAGCAGATCAATCGCTCCTAGAAGAACAGGTAACAGCTGTTAATAAAGCCATGATAGATAGCTACCATGAATCATGTCCAGAAATCACTCCACCAAGGCATGCTGAGGTAAAGTAACCGTGGTGGGGTAAAGAACGAGATAGAAAACGTAAGAAGGTAAGAAAATCCCTAAATAGGGGCATGAATACCTCAATGGATGAAGACTGACTACTATACAAGAAAGCTAAGTCCGAATACAAAAAATGTATCAGGTATCGACGCTCGACAGGGTGGCGTAAATTCTGTGGCAACATAGAAACCTGTGAACAAGCAAATAGGATAAGGAATATTCTAGCTAAACAGAACACGTCGAGATCCATCTCTCTAAAGAAACCCGACGGTAGTCACTCAACATCACCGGATGAAGCCCAACGCATCCTAATTAAAATGCACTTCCCAGGCTGCTGCGTAACTCAGGAGGCAAACCGGCATGACGACATACTGACACCAACAGCAAAAGACTGGAATTTAGCACAGAGAGTGGTAACGATGGACAAAATCCATTGGGCCATTCACAGTTTCCTCCCCTATAAGGCGACAAGACCTGACGGCATATTCCCGGCACTCCTACAGTCCCCCCACTGTCATTGCCCTAATAGTCAGACTTGTTGCCATAATGAGAGCCTGTCTGGCTCTTAATTAAGTTCCTAGGGGATGGAGGGAAGTGAAATTCACATTCATATCAAAACCAGGTAAGAGCGAGTACACAGACCCTAAATCCTACAGGTCCATTAGCCTCACATCCTTTCTACTAAAGACAATGGAGAGGATGTGTGAAAGGGAATTAAGGGGGTCGGCGCTAATGAACTTACCACTACACGACAAGCAACACGCGTACAGTCTAGGCAAATCAACAGAATCGGCACTTCACCAGGTAACAACAAAGATTGAAGAGGCCATCCAAAACAAAGAAATATGTCTAGGTTCTTCATTGATATAGAAGGTGCTTTTGACAGAACGAACTTCTCTAGCATAAAAGGTGCACTCAGTAGACAAAGTTGAACCGGCACTGATTGACTGGATAATATACATGCTCAGTACACGAATAATAAAGATTGCTGGTGAATCTCAACCAATCCAAATTAAGAAAGGCTGCCCGCAGGGTGGGGTTCTATCACCTCTGCTGTGGGATATGGTAGGTTATGCTGATGACCTGAAAATACTGGTCTCTGGAAAGACAGCAAGCAGTGTGCGACCTGACCCAAGCGGCTCTCCGTATAGTGGAGAGTTGGTGCAGGGAATACTACTTAACCATCAATCCAAATAAAACGGTTCTAGTAATGTTCACACAAAAATGAATGCTGAATAACTATCATCTCCCAAGTCTTTACAGCACAAAATTCCAATTATCCTCTGAGGTAAAATATTTAGGTCTTACCTTGGACAGCAAACTTAACTGGAATAACCACATAGAAAACAAAATCAACAAAGCTAGTATAACTTTCTGGCAATGCAGAAACATGATTAGCAAAAGATGGGGACTGACTCCAAAAATGATACTGTGGCTGTACAAAACTGTAATTCGGCCCATGATCACATATGGCGCTCTGGTATGGTGGACCAAAACAAATGAAGCCACCACTATAAAGAAGCTTCAGCGCTACCAGAGACTGGCATGTATGGCTGCCACAGGCTAATTAATTAATTTTAAATAATTGATAGAATTCACTCAAAAATTCCTATCTAACAAGCCAAGTACGATAAGATTCCCAAACAATTTGTATTCGATAAGAAGTATAAGATACAATTAAATGAAACCAGCCAGCTGGAAGGATTAAGCCCAAAAGAGCTTAGAGTTTTCACCGATGGTTCTAAAACAAATGAAGGTGTAGGTTCTGGAACTTTCTCTGAAGACCTCAATATCCACATATGCACACCTCCGAGTACCTATAACACAGTTTTTCAGGCGGAATGTATGGGTATCATTCAAGCGGCCATAGCAATAGATGCTAGGAAGGTTAATGACTTCCCCATCAGAATACTGACCGACAGTAGGGCGGTACTACAAGCTCTGAGTTGCAATGTGGTGAAATCGATGTTACTAATATATGAATGCCATCAACAATTAAATGAGGTATGTAAAAACAACAATGTGACTCTGCAATGGATAAAGGGACACAGTGGATCCAGAGGCAATGATGCAGCAGACGAACTGGCCAGAAGAGGATCAGCTCTGGCCAGGACTATAAGGCCGGAACTAATCATACCAATCCCCTTTGGTAATGTTCGTTCACTAGTACGTAGACACTTCACTAATCTACACGCTCAGCTTTGAAAAAATCTAGTAGACTGTAGACAAGCCAGGGAGGCCCTGCCTGAAATAAACAGTTGTTTAACCAAAGTTCTAATGAGACTGAACAAGCCGCAGATCAGTATAGTAACAAGTGCTATCACACGACACGGCAACTTTAACAAGCATTTATTTACTATAGGTGTTACAGATAGTCCCCTGTGCAGGGCATGTATGGAGGAAGAAGAAACGGCGGCCCATGTGCTATTGTAATGTCCGGAGGTCGCTACGTACAGGGCTAAACATCTTGGCACGCTGGGATCACTCCCCGAAGTTGCATGCAACATCAAAGGACTGTTGAGCTTGTTTGGGGAGATCTCATGACTCAAATAAGCATATTATTCCTGCCCACACGCAAAATACGTGCATAGACGTGGAGTTGCGGAAAACAGCCCGTCTTAAGCTAAACTAACTAAAGTAAATAGTTTTAGATATAAATTATTACATTTATAATTATATTTGTTTTTAATATAACTTCTTACATTCCAAATATTTGTACTTATAGTTTCTTAATACATAGATAGCTAATTAATCATTTATTTTAAATCATTATTATTCTATATATTTTTCATTTTTATCACTAACCTATATAATGACAAAACTAAATACACTATTGATAACCTAAGGCTAGTGAGTGGGAGAGAGAGCAAAATACTCCAATGATTTATGACCCAAACTGCACGGACAAAATAATTCTAGTATAGTTATAAAATCTATGTATTACAGGTGTGAAAACAGTCAAACGTTGACCGACTGTGAAAACACAGTCAAAAGCATTGTAACCAAGGAAGGTTTTATATATTTTTATAAAAACATAACTATAATTTGCAAAAAAATATTTAATGAAAGCAAACACTACTTTTACTAAAAACTAACAAGTATTTAGTTAAAATAGTTTGTGTGTGATACTGTTCAAAAAGTAGTTTTTTTATTGCTTAATTAGTTTTTTGCAAGCTTGCCATTGATATATATATATGTATGTATGTATGTATGTATATGTATATAATAACTGTATATCAATGAAGCTACTATAATTACATCAGAAACATGTATTTAATCCTGTTGGGAAAAGTAAAAATCAGCAAAAGTAAGCAAAGCCGCAAACTTATATACGTGGTAGAGCCATGCTGTAGCTATATTTCTGATCTAGTTGTAACACGAATGGGTCGGCTAGACCGGGGAAGGACCACGCTCTCACAAAATACCAGCGTAAAATAGCAGCTTAATGCTGCTGTGTTTCGTATGGTGAGTGTAGAGAACCGGAGACCCTTTTTACTGGAAACGAAGCATTCCATCTTAGTCCGCATGGGTGACAACACATCTACATTTTGATATTCGTAATCGAGGATAAATGTAGATGTCTATGGGCCACAGCAACCACTTACCATCAGGTGGACTGTGTGCTCGTTTGTCGCCCTTATCCTATAAAAAAAAACATCTAGTTCATTTTGCAAGAGTTAGGAAAAAATAATTTGAGCTACAATTGGGTTTAGTCGGTAACAAAGTGCTTTTGAATGCAAAGCTCAAAACTAGTTTTGAATTCACCGCCTCCTTCATATATGAGCTTGGTATGTTTATAATAAAAATGTGACTTTTTGTACCTCTACAACTTACTCTTTTAATAATATACTCTAATAAAATTCAATTAATACTTACTTTTACTTTATTCGAGCATATTGACGGAATAAACGGCAATCCATTAAATAAACAATCCAATATATAAGCCCCATCACTATTCAAAATCCGCCGTGATAAAAATTTAACTATCTGGTAAATTAAAAGCAAATATTATAATTTTGATAGGTTGATTCGAGTAAATAAAAAATCTATCGAAATATCTCTTACCTGATCAATTTTTAACTTACAATACTCACGTAACTCTTCGCGTTTACTATTATTATGACCTAGATCCTTTATTTTTGAAAATATTTTACTAGAATCCATTACAAAATGCAGTGCAAATTATCAACTTATTAGTTTGAGAAATTGTTTATTTGTTATATGTTCACATTTGATAAGCTTAGCCGCGAAAAATACAAAATAAAATCAAAGACATTCTTGTTGTCATGATTCGCTAATTAAAGTAAGCAAAGATCTTACACCATACAGCCTAAGCTGAGTGTATTATATTAGGTCCTTACATATGAAATTGGCGTTTTGTACGGGAGGAATATAAAGTCAACATTTTTTGTAAAATATATTTAATTAATCAAAGTGTGCACCGTTGTTATTACCTTTTGCCATCTCATAGGTAGTTCATTGATCCCTTTACAAAAAAAACCATGGGAGCGAGAATCAATAAACTCTTTGAAGGCGTTTTGAACTACCGCATCGGAGTTGAATTTTTTTCCTTGTAAGAACTTGTCCGAATTCCGGAAACATGGTAATCTGTTGGAGCAAGGTCCGGGGAATACGGTGGATGTCGCAGACGTTTCAATTGTAGCTCATCTCACTTAGTGGTTGTTTGTTGTGCAGTGTGTGGTCTTGCGTTGTCGTGAAGCGGCAGTGGCCTAGAACGATTGACCAATCTCTGTTGTTTAGCAGCTAGTTCTTCCTTCATGATTTGCAGTTGCTGACAATAGATATCTGCTGTAATCGTTTGGCCAGATTTTAGAAAGCTATAGTGAACGACACCGGCGCTAGTCCACCAAACACTCACAAGTAACTTTTTCTGAGTCAATTTTCGTTTAGGGCTGGATTTGGCTAGGTCTCCAGGGTTCAGCCATTGCGACGAGCGCTTCCTATTATCGTACAATATCCACTTTTCATCACAAGTAATCGTTCGATTTAAAATCCCTTCATTATTGTGTCGATTGAAGTAACACAACAATCGACGCGTGTTTGCAAGTTCAATTCACTCAATTACCCATCGTTCAAGTTTTTTACTTTCCTAATTCGCTTCTGGTCGATTAATTCAGTTTTATCACTTACGCCGAAGCCTGCAGCTATCTCTTAAGTGCTTTGTGATGGATCTGCTTCCACAATAGCCTTTAACTCTTCATTTTCCACTTTGGTTGGAAATATAATTTTCCACGGGGTTGATTCTGAAGGTTGAAATTTTCAGAACGAAAACGTTGAAACCAAAAACGTACTGTGTTTTCTTTTGCGACACCAGTGCCGGTGCCACGGTAGAACTTGTACTCGTAAATATACCGATATTTCATGTTTTCTATTGTGCTTTGTGCATAAGCGACGCCAAGGAAAAAAATAATGAGAAAAAAACAAATGAATGAGTGTTTTCAAAATTCAAATGTACAAGCTAAATAAATTTATAAATTTTAATTTGGAATTTTTAACCAAATAGGATATGTTTTAGATCAAAGTGGTCAGTACGACAAAACGCTAATTTCATATGTAAGGACCTAATATTAATTAAATTCTTCACAATATGCTGATGTCACATTAAGAGGCTTAAGGGAGATTTTGACGACATTTTGACCCAGCGGATATGATAAAGATAGTACCTCATACTATTTTTATCATATACCACCCGCACCTTAAGGCCACGCTAGTGCAATATTCATAGCATCACGCTATTTTCCCCAAGGGGTTGCGCGGGGCTTTGGATAATATTCCCAAGTCACAATGATAAAACTTTTAGCGTAGTTAGACATAATATTTTAAGTAATGCTCTTGAAGCGCTACTGGATGCACGGTTTAATGTGTCAGGATAGTATACGTTCCATTGTATTTGATACTCACGACACTCGATGCTCCATTCATACTACATGTCAGACGACAATGTGTCGAGGGCTTATATAGCGTGGTTCATCGCCTACAGCGTTAATCGTAGAGAAGAGGAACTCGTAGTTACGTAATAACTGCGTGGATCAATAGATATGAGAGATTGCACTTGCCGCCGTCAGTCCATGAATGAGTAAACATTTTCTTAACATACCGAGATTGAGAGAATAGAGAGTGCATCTATATCCTCAGGTGCACTTTACTCTGTTAAGATCATTATGCTTTTAACATCCATGCAGCTAAAATTATAATAAGTTTATTATTACTTTATACTTTTCAGGAACAGATGAAAGAATATAAACATGAAGCACGATGAAAACTCATAAACTTATTGCCCTTTAAACAGAGCAATCTTATTTAACTGATTCCTACAAGTTTCCTTACTTAAATTATTTAGTTTACATTTATATTTTAGTCGAGTGTTAAAATAAATTTCTATAATGTATTTAATTATTAATTATTAAATGTTTATAAAAATCAAAGCAGTCATCATGTACTCCGTGACCCCGTTTTTTATTTCCCCATTAAAACATTTCATAAAATATAAATAGGTATATACTTATTTAATCATCCACCTATTTATATTAACAATATGTTAAAAAAAATTACGGGGAAACTGTCCATGGCAGTAAATATTTTTCTCCAAAGTTTAAGAACTATCATGGTAAAAATTCAGTTAATTTTTGAAGTTATTCAATTTCATGCACTAAACTATTTTTTTAATCTTTTAACCGCTTCCTTAACAATCATTTATCGATAGTCCTTGTAAGTACAACACTAGCTCACGCAGAAAATGACAAATCAAAATTAGTCACGCGTTTTCGGGCTGTCAGGACGTCTATACCACCAATATTGTAAGTCTATAATATTAGCACATAATAAATAATAGTACTACGTAGTATTTATTAGTAGCACAGTAGGTATACTACTAGTTTGTCTGTGGTATGTAGGTATCATTTTCATTTATGAGAGTTTTGGCGGGAACTTGACTGGCGACGGTTTGCTGCTCCTGTATTATTATTTAAATATCGGTTTGAAGTGGACTTTGATATGTAAAAGTGGTGCGATTTTGTGTATTAAGTGTCTACGCATGTGAAATATTAGTGGAAACGGAAAGAACTGCTCTGATGGTGATATGATTCTAAAGATAAGATGTCTACTTAGGCGCCTTGAGATACCATTGCCCACTGTCAGCTGTCTGCTGGCTCAAGTTGCCGTCAAAATCTCCCAAGGGCTGCACAATGTGACACATCAACGTATTGTAAAGCAGTGTACTATGAAGGATAATAATACATTGTAACTTCAGGCTCAGAAGGGCTATAACCCACAGCCGTAGAGCTAATTTTTAAAAAAAAATCATTTATGAGTAGGGGTGTCCACATAGACATAGTATCTTATTATATCTTATCTGCGTGAAAATATGCGTTATGTGGGTTGGCCACCGCAGTTTTTTATTATTTTAAGTTTTCATCGGGAAAGTGCTGCTGCCCCATCCCCATCTTGTATTATTGCTTACGACGCGGGGTAATATCATCCCGTGTACAGACTAATTCTCTTGTACGCCACAACTTGCCGCACACAAGACACTAACTTAGCAAAACATGCAGGAAATCGCGAGAGTAGGCTCATAACCGTGTTGTGTACTACAAAACCTAAGTGGAAACCCTTTCCTTTCGAAGGTCTGTGTTCAGCACTGAACTTGTGATGGAATGGTATGTTAAAACATTATTGATTTTTTTTTGTAAAACAACAAAACTCGACACAAGGAAATTTTTGTTTATTACTTAATATTTTTATTCTCAATTAATATTTAAGTACATACATAACATATTGTTATTTATTAGCGATATCACACTTTGTGCTATTGGCGCCTTCACTTAGTGCCATCGAAATCCAAAGAGTTTATTGAATGTCCAGTAAAATCGTCAATGCGCCGTTGAATACAGAATGATGATTCTGTTTTTAAGCCGTTTCCGCCCGTAGTTTTTGTCACGGAATGTATTTTCAAGAGAAATTAATTAATCATCTGAATTATAAAAGAACATTTTTTTATGGTAACAATTAAGTTTTTTGTATAAATGCTGTGAATATAAATAAACCCATAACGGGGGAAATGGAACAATATCTGGTAACCCAGTGAAAGTACCTCCCGCCTATTTCTATCTCAAAAGCATACGCGAATGCTTTATCTAGTCTATCCTCTATCTTCGACTTACTTCCGTTTACTTTCATACCCCTTTCTTTCAATGACCAGTTCATTAAAGTAACCATCATTTGCAACTCGGCCGCCGACGATGCAAATACATATGACTTGATCGTCGGCGTACAAAAGGCATTTGACAGTTAACTCACCCATTCTCAACCCACATTCTTCAACTTTCAAAGTTTGCAGACAATTGTCCATAAATAGGTTAAACAGCCACGGGGAAGCCTCACATCCCTGTCTGACACCTTTATGAATGCCAAACCAGTCCGAGTAGACCCCGTTGAGCCTTACACAAGCACTAGAGTCCCTATAAAGAGACCTTAATGCCTGTATCAAGCCAGCGCTCAACCCAAATGAGTTCAGTATTTGCCATAACACATTCCTGTCCACTCTGTCATAAGCCTTTTCCAAGTCCATGAACGCACAAAACCTTTCTGGTTTTGGCCAAAAATTTCTCCGCAATCATGCGCATGGAAAAACTTGATCCGTACACCCCATCCCCTTTCTAAATCTTTCTATTTCTCAGTTTCTTCCATAACTCTATCAATTAACACCTTAGCATACAGTTTACCCACAATGCTAAGCAAGCTGATACCACGGTAGTTTTTACAGTTCTGCTGCGAGCCCTTTCCCTTATATATTGGGATTATAACGGCATTGCACCAGTCTTCCGGTACCTGCTTCAGTTCCCAACATAAATTAAACAAGGTGCACAGTAGGCCTGCAACCACACCCTCTCCAGCCCTTAGCATTTCGAGTGATATTCTATAATATTCGACTGCCTTACCTGCTTTCATGCTTTTCATTGCTTTCATTATTTAATCTACACTTATCTCCCTACCTCTCTCCACTTCTTATGGAATTTCTATTTCACTTACTTCAGACGACTCTTCACTCTTAAACACGCTTTCAAAGTATTCCTTCCATCTCTTTAAATTCGAAACTTCATCATTCAGCATGCAGCCATTCTCGTCTCGTATAACATTCATTCTAG